AGGCGGGTGGATCACAGTGTCAGGAGATCGAGACCATCCTGGCCAACATGGTGAAACCCCGTCTCTACTAAAATACAAAAAATTAGCTGGGCGTGGTGGCGCACGCCTATAGTCCCAGCTATTTGGGAGGCTGAGGCAGGGGAATCACTTGAACCCGGGAGGCAGAGGTTGTAATGAGCCAAGATAGTGCCACTGCACTCCAGCCTGGTGATAGAGCAAGACTCCATTTCAAAAATAAAAAGTTCTAACTCAATGAAAGTTCAGTGGGCACATGTGGCTGGTGGCTCCAGTGTTAAATAGCACAGTTCTGGAGCATCTAAGTGGAGAGAAGCCTGGCCTTGGTGGCAGGCAGCATTGCTCTTTTGCCTATGACCCTCTGTGGGTGTGGTAGGTGAGGAAGGGACTGAATTATCAGACCTTATGCAAAGTGACTTTAATATTGTTTTGGGCCTCTTAAAACAATTAATGTTGTCTTGTGTGTGCACACACATGACCTCCTTGGATTCTCCGTCTCAGAGAAGGAATTTGTTTTCAGTTCTCTGTCTTTTTTCTTTAGGATTGGTGGAAAGTGGAAGTGAACGATCGTCAGGGTTTTGTGCCAGCTGCTTACGTGAAGAAATTGGACCCCGCCCAGTCAGCCTCCCGGGAGAATCTCCTGGAGGAGCAAGGCAGCATAGCGCTGCGGCAGGAGCAGATTGACAATCAGTAAGGATGACACCGGGGGCCACAAGGACCAGGCGTCCCACCGGCGTACTCTGTTCCACATGGGCCAAAGCTTAGGCGTGTCCTGAGGCTCCTGGAGCCCACCTGCATGCCTCCTGCTGTCTCCACCCCACTTTGAGCCCACAGACCTCCCTGTTTGGGTCTCAAATCCCTGACTGATGACTTATTTTGCTTTGTTTTTTTTCCACCAGTGTTCATGAGTTTTTCCTAAACAGAATTTTTCTAATCATTGCCATTTGTCTTTTGGTTCGAGATGCTTTTCGAAATTGGATATTCAGATTCTACACCCCTACAGCTCTGTCCACTTTGAAAAGCTGCTTTCAGAGCTTCTCTCTCTGCCATAGCTTTGAGTTCTGAGAATGGAATTTTGTAATGAAATGGCTCTGTTCTCTTTCCTGTAGCTGAGCCCCCGTATTGCCCTGTGTCCCTCCTTCAGGGTATTTCTGACTCCACTAGTGGAATCAGCAGTTTTGGACACTTGAGAAGTATCCAGGAAATACATTCCCACTAGAGTTTGGGTAGAATAGTGGAATTTTTGGATTCCAGTGATCCTCAGTAAGATCAGAGTTATTTGTCCACTTACAGATTCTGTTATTATTGAGATAAGAATGGAAGGTTTTGGTTTATATTCTTTTTTTTTTTTTTTTGAGACAGAGTCTGGCTCTGTCACCCGGGCTGGAGTGCAGCGGCATGATCTTGGCTTACTGCAACCTTACCTCCCGGATTCAAGCGATATCCTGCCTCAGCTTCCCAAGTAGCTGGGACTGCTGGCATGTGCTACCACACCCAGCTAATTTTTGTATTTTTAGTAGAGAGGGGGTTTCGCTGTGTTGGCCAGGCTGGTCTGAAACTCCTGACCTCATGATCCGCCCGCCTTGACCTCCCAAAGTGCTGGGATTATAGGCATGAGCCACCGTACCCGGCCTTGGTTTGTATTCTTACCAGCAGTCTGGGTCATAAATATAAGAGGAAAAAGTAGATCAAATATATGGCTAAATTGCTTGTTAGCTCTCAGTAAAATTTCTTTCTAAGGGTAGTCCAGTCTGTTCCCTGACCTTGCTTTGTGAATTTACCAGTGTTTTCAGTACAGGAAAATCTGCCTTAAGCATGGCACACCTGTCAAGAAAATGAAGGTGAACTAACCCTGTAATTTTCCTGTTATTTCTTTACTGTCATTTCACTCATGGCTTAGAGTGCTCCTTAGAGCTGTTGAATGAGTCCGTATTTTCCCAACATTAAGCATCCACCATCATGGCACCAGTCGGAGCTGCCGCCTTTCATCCCTGTGGATTAATCCCACTAATTTGTGCATGCTTTTGCTGTGCCCCCTCTGTGCAGGACACGCATAACTAAGGAGGCCGGCAGTGTATCTCTGCGTATGAAGCAGGTGGAAGAACTGTGAGTAGGCTGAGAGCCTTGCAGAGCACCAGTGTCCACTGCTACCCTGTCCATTCTCCCTCTGCCGCTTCTCTTGAAGGCCTTTGTTCATCCAGAAAGATGAGGTGGTGGGAGGAACTGCCTGTCTGTGCAGCAGCTTTGCCTCACAAGGGAGGAGGTCGCGGTGCAGCTGTGTTGGTTGATGACTGCTTATCTCATTGGTTGCTTCCGTGTGCAGCTGTGTGTTCAGAGTGGTATTGGTTCCCCCTCCTGTTGGTTTTTGTGGTGGACCAGCCACTATCAGCAGCAAACCTGAAGGCTTGTTCTGTAGTTTTCCTTAGTAGGAAGGAAATCATATGCTTCTCTTAAAGTGTTGTGATTCTTGGTAACTCATTGCTTTTTTATTTCACTTTGGGACACTTAGATTTGATGGTGATTCTAGTTTTTTTTAACTTTTAGTTTTTTATTGTTTGTTGTTTTCATGTTCAAAGATAATATTTCAACCTTTTGTGTTTTAGTTCCCGAGGGTTAGAATATCCTTTGATTCTTAAGAAATCTTTCAAGTAACAGAATGGCACAGAGATACTCAGTAATGTGCCTGATTTTCCTTCCGAACTTGCCAAAACTTTCTGCGAACTGAATGTATCATTTTAGAAATGTCCTACTAATATGGAGATAAAACATCCTGTATGAGGATATTTTAAAGCTCAGTGTACCTTCCCCCACCTCACCCCAGCCTGGGGGCTATTCAGAGAATTATAAAAGACAAAAAAAAAACCCTCTGTATACATTCTGCCCAGCAAATTCATTTCATCTGTCCACTGTAGTTGCATGAACCCTGTGTTACTGTGCTAAGCGCTTGGTTTCAGTCATTTGTGGTTGTGTTGTTATAAGTGCAGAATTGGCCTGGAGATAAGTGTGCCTGGCTGTTCTAGCCACCTAGTTGTGAACAGTGTGTGCATATCTCTTAGGCTGTGGCGTGGGTACTTGGGATCCTCATCTTCATCTGATAACTCTGTTACTAGGGCATCATCATTACAAACTCGTAGCCTGGAATCCATATCTTGGAGACACTTCGTGGTTTGCCTTTATGTCAGCATTTACAAACTGCCTTCTTTGTCCCTGTTGTCTCCCTCTTGAATTCCATCAGATATCATTCTCTTCTGGAACTGGGTGAGAAGCGTAAAGGCATGTTGGAGAAGAGTTGCAAGAAGTTTATGTTGTTCCGTGAAGCGAATGAACTACAGCAATGGATCAATGAGAAGGAAGCCGCTCTGACAAGTGAGGAGGTCGGCGCAGACTTGGAGCAGGTTGAGGTGCTCCAGAAGAAGTTTGATGACTTCCAGAAGGTATGGGCAGTCTTAGAGCTCAGCTGAAAATTTATTTAAAGATTTTAGTCTCGATTTTTTTTTTTTTTTTTGAGATGGATTCTCGCTGTCATCCAAACTGAAGTGCAGTGGTATGACTTCAGCTCACCGCAACCTCTGCCTCCTGGGTTCAAGCGATTCCCATGCCCTAGCCTCCGAAGTATCTGGGATTACAGGTGCCTGCCACCATGTCCTGCTAATTTTTGTGTTTTTAGTAGAGACAGTGTTTCACCATGTTGGCCAGGCCGGCCTCAAACTCCTAACTTCAGGTGATACACCCGCCTCAGCCTCCAAAGTACTGGGATTATAGGCATGAGCTTCTGCGCCCGGGCGGAGTCTCTTGATTTCTGACTGCAAATTACTGGAATGCAAATTACATAGATTATATTCCATCATCTATGTAGCTATTTTTTTTTTTCCAATTTTTTTTTTCTTTTGAGATGGAGTCACGCTTTCGTCGCCCAGGCTTGAAGTTCATTGGCATGATCTCAGTTCACTGCAACCTTCTCCTCCCAGGTTCAAGCAGTTCTCCTGTCTCAGCCTCCCGAGTAGCTGGGACTGCAGGGGCTCGCCACCATGCCTGGCTAGTTTTTGTATTTTTAGTAGAGATGAGGTTTCACCATATTGGTCAGGCTGGTCTCAAACTGCTGACCTCAGGTGATCCACCTGCCTCGGTCTCCCAAAGTGCTGGGATTACAGGCGTGAACCACCACGCCCGGCCTCAGTTTTTTTTTTTTAAGACAGAGTCTCACTGTATTGCCCAGGCTGGAGTGCAGTGGCTCGATCTCAGGTCACTGCAACTTCGCCTCCCAGGCTCAAGTGATTCTCATGCCTCAGCCACCCGAGTAGCTGGGATTACAGGTACGCACGACCACGTCTGGCAAATTTTTGTATTTTTAGTACAGCCGGGGTTTTACCGTGTTGGCCAGCCTGGTCTTGAATTCCTGGCCTCAAGTGATCCGCCCACCTCAGCTTGACCCAAAGTGAGCTACCACGCCTGGCCTGTGTAGCTATTTTTAAAAGACTTTAATTGAAACTTTTTTGGACTAGTTTAGTTTTAAGGAAGGATATACTTTGTTCTCTACATGTTGTTATAAGAACTTTTCTAAGCCTAAACTACAATAGATGTGAAAGTACTCTTTTTTTTTAAAAATTGGGGTAAATTCACAAAGCTAACCATGTTAAAGTGTACAATTCAGTGGTATTGAGTACATTCACAATGTTGTGCAACCACCACCTCTAGTTCTGAAACATTTGCATCACTTCAGAAGAAAACCACATATCTATCAAGCATTCATTTGCCATTCTCCCTAACCCCAGTGGCCCACGTAGCCACTCATCTGCTGCTTGCCTCCATATTTACCTATTCTGCACAATTTATATAAATGGAATCACGTTATGTGACTTTTTGTGACTGGCTTCTTTTGTTTATGTTTTCTTTCTTTTATTTATTAATTTTGAGACAAGGTAGCATTCTGTTGCCCAGGCTGGAGTGCAGTGGCCCAGTCTCAGCTTACTGCAGCCTCTGCTTCCTGGGCTCAAGTGATCCTCCTGTCTCAGCCTCCTGAGTAGCTGGGACTATAGCTATGTACCACTATGCTCAGCTAATTTTTGTATTTTTTGTAGAGACAAGGTTTCGCCATGTTGCCCAGTCTGGTCTCGAACTCCTGAGCTCAGGCTGTCTGCCCACCTTGCC